TCTAGAGATGTAAATAAGTTATTTACAAAGAACTTCGATTATGTTATGTGAGTTTTACAAAGGCAAAAATTGGGTTTTATGTTAAAGGTGTTGAAATGATTTTGTGGGAAATTCATCATTCCTTTTATTTGTGTAAGTTAAAATGTTGTAAATATATCGGTTTCATTAATACGCTTGGTTTAGTTAATCCACTACATGTAGTAAAAAAAAAACACACAAACACAATCTGTTTTTACAGCTTAACAGATGGGGTTAGATAAATGTTTGTTTGTCGTTAATTTTAGAGAGTAGATTAATTAGAAAATATTAAGGTATTTAGTAGAAACTCACCCTGTATACTATAACATTATTTAAAGATACTCGTGGTTGATTCTGTAGATCTTTGTTTCCAACAAAAATTATTAGATTATTTGAGTAATGATTTATATGGAACGAATCATTCAATATGGACCTTTTCCATTCGTAATTCTTATTGAGTTTTGGTTTAATGTTAGTTGGAAAGTTAAATGGAGCGTAAATCCAACTTTGTACATTTATCTGACTCTTACCCTGGTGGGATCTGCTATTGACATTTTTATAAAATATATCAATTTTAAATTACAAATTTTAAATATTTTTTTTATTTTGTGTTAGGGCCTAAACCTAAAAATATATTAATTCAGCCATTAAATTACCTTTTCATCCGTCCCAAAAATGTGGTGCTACTAATTTGAATTTGCCGCCAAGAAACAGCTGATACTCGACGGTACCCCTCCCTCAAGGACAGGACGACGCCACTTGCACTACTGACTCCTGCAGTGACTGGCCACCCCCGCCAACACGCTAGTGCCTTCCGGCGCTATGATTTATTTGTCATTACCTATGTACTAAATATATGTTTTAATATACAAGTTTACGTAACAGTCTAGCCAGTATTTTATTTCCTCGGCATCTTCGCCCTCACGCTGACCCAGAACGAGACGCCAGATCCACGCTCCACGCTGCTACCAAGGAACCCCGCTCGTCTTGAAGACATCTGTAGAAGGTAGCACCACACCACACCTATTTTACTAAATAAGTTTTAATTCCACCCCCAACATTGGTCCTTTACGAGCCCGATAAAATTAAAAGTTTGAACTAAACGCTTTGTTTTAAATATTACAGTCCATTTCAAATCATAAAAGTAAAGAATTATATTATTGCTTAATTTGTGTAAAAAGAAGGCAGTAAACTCATAAAACTGTTTTATTAAAAGTACTAATCAGTATTTAATTAGTTTAGCTTTGACATAAAGTTTAAGTTAAAGAGGTTTTGCTTGATTATTGTTGAGACAGGTTAGTTCAGGTCCCGTTACGGAACGCCGCTGCCTATTGTTTGCTTATCGCTAGTTGCTTATCTCTTTCAACAATTTGACTGTTATTATTTCATTCATATTTCCCCATTTGTAGATTATAGTAGTGTGTTTTTAATCTAATATTACAACTGTCAATTATTCATTCTCGTACACGTGTGTTGTTTTGTTTATTTACAGCAACGGTCTAAACGTAATTTTAATCGGTAAATATTCTTTTATTCTACCATCACCTTTTATCCTATTGATTCCTGTACATTGTCAGCTCAACAATGGCCACTAAAGAGAATAAAGCAAAAATGGATTCACTGATAAAGAAGCGAGAAAAGTACTTTGCTAGACTTCAAGCGCTTTATGACGTGGGTAAAAAATGTTTAGAATTGGCCCAAAAGAAGCAACCTTATCAAGCTGAATTTGATCACTTTGTTTCCCGTTATAATAGAATAGAAGATGATTGCTCTGTTTTTGAAGATATTAGTGATGACATTACCATTATTAACTCTGATCTAGATGATAGCGATAAGATCGAGGTACACAAAGTCTCAATGAGTTACGATGAAATGTATTTTAACGTAAAATCTCTTGCTCGCAAAATGCAGATTGAGCAACCCAAAACGCAAACCTCCGGCAAATCTGAAGCCACACCTACGCAACCCCCGCAATCTGCCCCTCAGGTAGCTAAGTTACCAAAAATTGAAATTGAGCCGTTTGATGGTTCGATAGCTGATTGGACGAACTTTTACGCTTTGTTTAACTCTCTGATACACAAGAATCGCTCTCTCTCTCAAAATCAGAAAAACTAACTTATCTACGTAGTCTACTCAAGTCTCACGCTCTCTCTTTAATAGAAAATTTAGTTATTTCTGAAGAAAACTACGATATTGCTCTACATCAGCTCATTCAGCGGTATCAAAACAAGCGTCTACTCGCATGTAATTATCTAGATAAAGTGTTCTCGTTCCGAGCTCTCACAGAAGATACTGCCAGTTCATTAACTAGTTTTCTAGAAGTATTTAATACCAATCTCTCCGCTCTCAAGGCCCTTGGCATAGATGATTTGTTCGATTTTGCTATGCTTCATGTCGCATTGCGTACTCTAACTCCAGGTACCCGTAAAGACTTCGAAAGCGAACAGACAGACAAAGAAATCCCTAAGTTTGAAAACCTAATTAGCTTCATAGAACAACAGCTTAAAATCCTTGAAATAACGAGTACTAAAAGCAAGCCTAAGCAGACTAGGACTCCAAGCAAACCGTATAGTAACAAAAATACGATGCTATCTACTACCGTCAATGATAACAGCAATCATAAATGGCCTTCAGCACTAAAATGTGCCTTTTGTCAAGATACATCACATAAAATCTTTGGTTGCACAAAGTTTAAGGAACAAAATGTTTCCAGTCGTAATGACTTTGCTAAAGCAAACTCTCTGTGCTATTGTTGTTTGGGTTTTCACAGAATTTCCGACTGTAAGTCCAAATCTAGATGTTTCAAGTGTTCTGGTAAACACCATTCTCTCCTTCATCGCCAAAGAGATTCAGCTTATAACAATGCTACCCGTAGTCCTAAACCATCCGATAATGTTACATTGCCGTCTAGCGACACTGTAGAGAAGACTTGCAGCTTTGCTAACTCGAAAACCTCATCTAATATGCTACTGAGTACAGCAGTCATTGGAGTTAAAGATCATCATGGTAAACTATTACCAATAAAGGCTCTTATAGATGGAGGATCTCAAACTAGCTTGATCACCGAAGAATGCGCCTCCAAACTAAATCTAAAAAGATATTCTAACAATGTAAACCTCATTGGAGTAGCTGAAACATCCGTTCCCCTCAATAAAGGATTAGTTCATTGCGTTATCAGTCCACTCGAAAATGCCAGCATTGTTCTAACAACAGACGCAATTGTTGTCCCTAAAATATCGTCAGACCAACCGAACATCCCCATTGACTCATCAATACGCTCAAAGTTTCATCATTTAAAACTCGCAGACCCATCATTTGACGTATCATCCCCAATTGAATTCCTGATAGGAGCGGACTTGTATTTTGACATCCTTCAGGAGTCAAGCAACCTAATTAAAGGAGAACCGTCTGCGATAGCTACTATATTTGGTTGGGTTATAGGAGGCAAAGTTATCAACGAAATTCCATTGAATGACCGGTCCTCAATGTTGATTTGTAACAACACTCTTGATGCTCATCTAACCAAATTCTGGGAGATAGAATCTGTCAACAATGTAGTAAGACCCAATCCTGAAGATGAAGCCACAGAAGAAAGCTTTATAAAAACTCACAGAAGAGACACTAATGGAAGATACATTGTGTCCCTCCCAACTAAGCCTGAAGCTCCATCACTCCCTGATACTAGGGATAGCGCCCAAAGACAGCTAGTGACTCTAGAGCAAAGACTAAAACGCAATCAAGAGATGTATGAAGAATATAGAAGATTCATGGATGACTATATATCTCAGGGACATATGAGTCTTTGTTTAGAACCATCCAACTACATAATTCCTCACCATTGTGTTCGCAAAGAGGACAGTTCTACAACTAAACTAAGGACAGTATTCAACGCTTCATTCAAACCTAGTGGATCTAGTTCGTCCCTAAACGATATATTGTACAGTGGTCCAAAACTACAGAAGGATATCGCAGAGATAATAACCTATTTCCGATTGCATTCTATCGTCGTTTGTGCAGATATCAAACAAATGTACAGAAACGTGCTAGTAACAGAAGAACATCGCAAACTCCAGCACATATATTATAGAACTCATCGAGATGGTCCCATAGAAGAATACGAACTCAACGTCTTAACATATGGCGTAACATCAAGTGCATTTTTAGCTCAAAGAGTTTTGCTACAGCTAGTACAAGACGAAGGCCAGAAGTATCCCCTAGCATCTAAAGCCATTATAAACCAAACTTTTGTAGATGACATCTGCGTCAGTGTTGACACTATTAACGAAGCTCTAAACTTGCAACAAGAACTTATAGACCTACTGAACCTAGGAGGATTTTCGTTGCGCAAATGGGCTAGCAACTGTAAGGACGTACTAGCTACCGTACCTTTAGATCATCGAGAAAAGCCTCTAAGCATCAGCTCAGAAAATGAAAACTATATGAAAGTTTTAGGTTTGCAGTATAACCCGGATGACGATACATTCTCGTACATAATTCATCTCAACCCCCTAGTGTACACAAAACGCTTAATGTTAAGTGAGATGTCCAAAATCTACGACATTTTAGGTTGGATTACTCCGTGCACATTCTATGTGAAAAATCTTATGCAAAGCATTTGGTTGCTAGGATTAGGATGGGATGACGAACTTCCTACTGAGATCTGTAATAAATGGGAAACATTCATCTCTACTCTTCCAGGACTGGCTCACCTAAAGATTCCGAGACTCATACCCATTGTTAATGCCACTAACATTCAGATCATAGGATTCTGCGATGCATCCAGTTCTTATTCCCCAGTCTTCACGTCTCGCAACACTTATATGTGATCACTATCACATCCTCTCTTTACATGGAGTCCACGGCTCACTCAGTCTTTGATTCAAAGGCAATTTTGGATAATAGGTATTCGTCAACTCCTGAGAGAGAGAATATTTAGATGCAACAAGTGCTACTTATTTCAGGCGAAACCACTCACTCCAAAAATGGCAAATCTTCCTCAAAAAAGGTTTGAAAATGTGCGTGCATTCTTGAATGTTGGTGTTGATTATGCCGGACCCTTTGATTTTAAAGAAGGTTCAAGAAGAAAGGCTCCCATATCAAAAGGATACATTGTCATAATCGTTTGCTTAGCCACAAAAGCAGTTCATTTAGAGTTCGCTACTAGCCTATCAACTGCCTCATTCCTTGCTGCATTTGACCGATTTGTAGCGCGCAGAGGACTGTGCAAAACAATATACAGCGACTGTGGAACCAACTTCCAAGGTGCTTCGAACCACTACTTACGTGTTCAACAATTCCTCAAAGAAAATAATGAACATTTCACTCATCAGCTCAGCAAAAAGGAAATTAAGTGGATTTTCATCCCCCCTGCTGCACCTCACTTTGGAGGAATTTGGGAGGCTGCAGTTAAGTCAACCAAACGTCATCTCTCCAGAATCTTAGTAAATCTGAGTCTAACGTACGAAGAAATGTCTACACTTCTCTACCGCATCGAAGCCGTTCTCAACAGCCGTCCTCTTGGATCAATGACGACCGACCCCAACGATGGAGATTACCTCAGCCCAGGACACTTCTTAGTAGGTGCCCCACTCATCTCACCTCCAGAACATGACTACACCGATACGCCAATGAATAGGCTTACAAGATACGAGCTTCTTCAACAGGCCACACAAGCTTTCTGGAAGGCCTGGTCCAGAGATTACCTCCATACCCTGATCCAGCTAAACAAATGGACAACCACTCAACCCAATATCAACATTGGTGATATAGTTTATCTTCAGTTGAAAAACACTAGTCCGTTAGAATGGCCCATCGGTAGGGTTGAAATTAGGGCGGGCGCGCACTATCCCGACCACGACCACGACCACGACTCCGACTGGTCGGATACGACCAGTTTTATAATAGGAATAAATGGAACAGCGCGCACTGGTCGACTGGTCGGACCCTGGTCGGTCCCTGGTCGCACGACCAAAATTTTCCAGTTTGGTCGGGCCCGACCCGCTGGTCGTTGCAGCCAAAAATAGCACACAATGTAATGGGACGACGCGCACTACCCCCGACTTGCCTCCGACCCGACCAGTACACCACTCAACCCCCAGTATTCCTAGATCAATCAAACGGTAAACACTAGTTTTTTGCGCCGGTCTGTGAAGTGACTCATTTGGTAAAATGTCGCAGGATTTTGACACTTTTGAAACCTGTCTTCATATTGACGTAGCTCTTCATAAAATGTTGCAAAATGCCCTTTCAGACCTAACAGTTAACATTGGATATACCCAGTATAGTGTCTTCTTCCGCTTAACGTACTTACAATACAAATGCACCATAACAACTACTTCTTTAACAATCATCTTGACACTGAAGTTTGTAAAACATTTGTTGCCTTGGTCGGGTCGTGGTCGGGTCGTGCTCTGGTCGCAAGGTGAATGACAACCACTGGTCGGGCGTTTGGTCGTGGTCGTGGTCGTGGTCGGGATAGTGCGCGCCCGGCCTTACTTACCCAGGAAAAGATGGAGTAGTGAGAGCAGCTAAAATAAAAACTACTCAAGGCACATTCACAAGGCCAGTACACAAGCTGATATCCCTCCCGCCTCCTGACCATAACCTTTAAATTGATGAAACAACGGTGTATTTCGTTTTGCGTGTTTTAAACTAAAATTGTTTAGTGTTTGTGTGTTAAGGCTAAATATTTTATCTTTTTTTCGTTTCAAAACTATTGTTTTGGGTGAGGGGAATGTTAGGGCCTAAACCTAAAATATATTAATTTTCAGCCATTAAATTACCTTTTCATCCGTCCCAAAAATGTGGTGCTACTAATTTGAATTTGCCGCCAAGAAACAGCTGATACTCGACGGTACCCCTCCCTCAAGGACAGGACGACGCCACTTGCACTACTGACTCCTGCAGTGACTGGCCACCCCCGCCAACACGCTAGTGCCTTCCGGCGCTATGATTTATTTGTCATTACCTATGTACTAAATATATGTTTTAATATACAAGTTTACGTAACAGTCTAGCCAGTATTTTATTTCCTCGGCATCTTCGCCCTCACGCTGACCCAGAACGAGACGCCAGATCCACGCTCCACGCTGCTACCAAGGAACCCCGCTCGTCTTGAAGACATCTGTAGAAGGTAGCACCACACCACACCTATTTTACTAAATAAGTTTTAATTCCACCCCCAACATTGGTCCTTTACGAGCCCGATAAAATTAAAAGTTTGAACTAAACGCTTTGTTTTAAATATTACAGTCCATTTCAAATCATAAAAGTAAAGAATTATATTATTGCTTAATTTGTGTAAAAAGAAGGCAGTAAACTCATAAAACTGTTTTATTAAAAGTACTAATCAGTATTTAATTAGTTTAGCTTTGACATAAAGTTTAAGTTAAAGAGGTTTTGCTTGATTATTGTTGAGACAGGTTAGTTCAGGTCCCGTTACGGAACGCCACTGCCTATTGTTTGCTTATCGCTAGTTGCTTATCTCTTTCAACAATTTGACTGTTATTATTTCATTCATATTTCCCCATTTGTAGATTATAGTAGTGTGTTTTTAATCTAATATTACAACTGTCAATTATTCATTCTCGTACACGTGTGTTGTTTTGTTTATTTACAGCAACGGTCTAAACGTAATTTTAATCGGTAAATATTCTTTTATTCTACCATCACCTTTTATCCTATTGATTCCTGTACATTGTCAGCTCAACAATGGCCACTAAAGAGAATAAAGCAAAAATGGAGTCACTGATAAAGAAGCGAGAAAAGTACTTTGCTAGACTTCAAGCGCTTTATGACGTGGGTAAAAAATGTTTAGAATTGGCCCAAAAGAAGCAACCTTATCAAGCTGAACTTGATCACTTTGTTTCCCGTTATAATAGAATAGAAGATGATTGCTCTGTTTTTGAAGATATTAGTGATGACATTACCATTATTAACTCTGATCTAGATGATAGCGATAAGATCGAGGTACACAAAGTCTCAATGAGTTACGATGAAATGTATTTTAACGTAAAATCTCTTGCTCGCAAAATGCAGATTGAGCAACCCAAAACGCAAACCTCCGGCAAATCTGAAGCCACACCTACGCAACCCCCGCAATCTGCCCCTCAGGTAGCTAAGTTACCAAAAATTGAAATTGAGCCGTTTGATGGTTCGATAGCTGATTGGACGAACTTTTACGCTTTGTTTAACTCTCTGATACACAAGAATCGCTCTCTCTCAAAATCAGAAAAACTAACTTACCTACGTAGTCTGCTCAAGTCTCACGCTCTCTCTCTAATAGAAAATTTAGTTATTTCTGAAGAAAACTACGATATTGCTCTACATCAGCTCATTCAGCGGTATCAAAACAAGCGTCTACTCGCATCTAATTATCTAGATAAAGTGTTCTCGTTCCGAGCTCTCACAGAAGATACTGCCAGTTCATTAACTAGTTTTCTAGAAGTATTTAATACCAATCTCTCCGCTCTCAAGGCCCTTGGCATAGATGATTTGAAATTAAATTAGAGACTATTTAGCAATTACTTTTATCAGTCCGTCATTTTACAAAGAGTAATATTTTTATATTTTTTTTTTATATTTTACTCATCCTTTCATCTACTTGTATCTATCGTGAAGAGAGGCTGTGAGTTTAAGTCATGTTACTAATATTACAAATTGTATTTATATTAGTGATTGCTAGACATATTACATAAGAATACCAACATAGTTATACATCTATCATGTAGATACAATTAAAACTAAATTCAAAGCGAACAGTGTTGATTGGTGCAATAATCAGCTACCTTCGTTTAATCATGTCGAAAACGTAAAACTCATTAGGATGGTAAAGCAAGGAAACTCTGTTACTCAATATTGGCAAATCCTCAGATGTAACACAAAACATCAACTAACTACAAATTTCATAGTAAAAATTTTACTGTCGTGCTTTTGTGCTTATTATTATTGCATAGGATACTTTTAAACATTAAGTACATATAGGATGCGGCTCGCCCGAGTGCAGCGTCAGGCAGCACTAAGGGTAGCATCTGCTTATCGACCCGTGTCCGAACCCGCCGTCCTGGTGGTTGCTGGAGTCATCCCCGTCAAACTTTTGGCGGCGGAGAGGAAGGCAATTTATCAGCGCCGTGGGGAGGACCAAGCAAGAATTGAGGAACGCGCCCGGACCTTCCAGCTGCGGCAGGAGAGCTGGGAACAGGAGACAAGGGGGCTCTGGACCAGGCGACTTATACAACAGGTCCAACCTTGGATTAATCGGCGGTGCGGAGAGGTGAACTTCTACCTCACCCAATTTCTGACGGGTCACGGCTTTTTCCGGTCGTTCTTGTTCAGGATGGGCAAAGTCGTGTCACCCGATTGCATATACTGCCCAAGCATTCCCGATGACGTGGAACACACTTTCTTCTTCAGCATTGGGAAAGGCCCCGCCTAGAGGCTCAACAGTTCGTAGGACTGCTGTCGGTGGACACGGTCATACCGATGATGATGGAGGGTGAGAACAATTGGACCTGTGTGTCACTTTACATCCAGGGTGTTCTCCGCGCCAAGAAGCTTGACCTCGACCGGGATGCGGTGTAGGTCAAAAAAATAAATAATGCCAGAAACGGTGCGAGCCCTGTGGGCTTAGGTCACATGTTGGCCTGACTTGAAGTAATGTGACAAACAATTCCAGGTCTGTGTCCAACAGAGTAGAGGGGGTTTTTTAGTGAGTAGTCTGTGATGGATTCAGGAGTCTCACACTACAGGCTGGCTACCTGTGTGCGTAAAAGCATTTTCCCTCCTCACCCTAAAAGAAAGAAAAAAAAAATTAAGTAGAGTGTCGCCTAACTAACTTTATTCAAATCAAAATAATTTTTTAGTATTTTAAATAAGATATATTGTACACAAAATGTTATAGTACATAAAAACAATCAAAATTAATTAATTTTGTAGAGATATGATGAAAAAAATTTTCCTTACCACATACCTATAGATAACATATCTCTAAGTCTCTTAAAGGTAAAGAGAATTACTATGATCGATTCAATACAACATGTATTTACTAATGAACCTCCTCGCAAAACACATTGTTACCACATATAAAACACAGAGAGTTCATCAGAGATCTATTGATTTATCAATCCCACATATCTGTTGACGGTTTATCAGATCCGTTGCTTTGATAGTTATTTTCACAGCTCGGCAAACACAATGTAGATTTTACTTTGCTTACACCTGGATCTCAATGGAATATTTATCTAGCACTGTGCCTTTTCCTTAAATATACATCGTACTGTATTATTCAATAATCATTTGCATAGCTATATTTTAGATTTTAATTAATTTGTAAATAAAACTCACCTGAGAATTTAGAAAGTTATTAAAATTACCTATCTTTATTTAAAACTTGTTAGACAACTGGTCTCACGAAACACAGATCACGACCCTTTGCAACAATGACAACCCATCCTCATTTTATTGAACTTTATATTTTGATAAACTATTGCATTTCTTTAAGTTATCAATTTTGAAATCGGATTGTATGTTCTAACTGTTCAATTTATAATCAATATTCTATTTGTACACGCTTTTGTAGCTTATAAAACATAAAAAATGTGTAATCATAAGATATACAATGCATAGCTTACTTCATCCAACACCTAAAGATTTTAAATACAAACAACATATCACCAATAAGATGCTAAATGTTAATTACCAATTGATTTAATTTGTAATAATGTAAACAAGTCTGGCTCATCTAGACACATTTTAACCTATACATGACTAAGGAGGCATGGGTCTATAATAGATACGCTGGGGAAGTGAGATATGCTTGCAGTGATTGGCTACTACTGACTGAGAACAAGATGTAACTTGGCCTGGAATGTGGGGGGTCCCAACACTGGAACAAGGGGGGGGGGGCTTGTCAGTGAACAATCATAAAGCAACTGCTACACCTCAAGATCGAACAAGTGACATTCTTACTACTAGACGAATGATACTCTGATACCCAGTTGTTGGTTAAGTTCAATACATGATTAATATAAGGGTCATTTATATGTTTTCTGTAATCATTTATTTGTAGATAATCATAACTAGTGTTAATTATGTCTTTTTAATTTATAATTGCTACGTGTTTAGACGCTTAACAGCACATCAACTAGAACTATAAAAGCTTAGTGGAGTACTCAAGTAAGTCAGTAGTTAGAATATTTAATCAATAGCTTATTATTTTATATCAACAATGTTGTCATGAAAATGGTTAGAGTCATATACTTATAAGCAACTTTTAATTTGATAGCGTGATAACATACATTATTCATACTGTTTTTAATAAATATTTGTTTTTAACAATTTACATAATAACTATGACTTTTAGAAATCAAAATGTTGTTCATTTTTGTTAAGTTTCCTTGCATCCATCCACATAATAATGTTCATAAATTTTATGTTAACACATTCCAATTGGGTCTTCTTTTATCATCTTCATTAATTTTCTTAGTTCAAAAGATTTCCATTCACTATACAGTAAAGATATATATTTAAAAAACTTATTAAAGTCTTGAAAATACTAGTTTATCTAAAACATTATAGAACGCAAAGTCTTGTAAACAGTCCGATTATAGAAGTTGGCTATAAGTCTAATTTGAACGCAAATCCTTTTTACGAATCACGGTCCTTTTTTGTCTTTTAAAAGAAAATCATACATGCATTTAAGATTTATATAACATATACATCAATACTAACCCAATGTATGGCATTATTTTATTATATACAATAATAATCTAATATAACCTATGTTATCGTTACTTTGACAAGGCATTTGACTGTGTCTCACATGATGTTCTTTTTAAGAAACTTGAATTCTATGGTGTTAGAGATTGTGAACTAAATTTTTTCAAGTCATATTTAACAGGCAGATCTCAGTTGGTAGATATTAGGGGAAATGTCTCTAAAGTTTCAGAGGTCAAGCATATTGTACCGCAGGGGTTAATATTGGGGCCCATTTTATTTTTGATATTGATTAATGATGTTAGCTTTAATCTGGACTGTTTTTCTACTGTATATGCAGATGATACATCATTGGTCTCTTATCATAATAACCTTGATGTACTAAGTAATATGGTCAAAGATAGTTTTGAAAGAGCTGTGTATTGGTTTACTGTCAATGGGCTTTTTATGAATGAAGAGAAAACTAAAAACATGCTTGTGTCTATGACTAATAACAGATCAAATCAAAACCTTGAAAGTAGTGTAACACTGTTGGGAATTTCTATTGATAGTAAATTGTCATGGAAGAATCATATTGAATTAGTTTGTAAAAAATTATCAAGAGTAATATGTTTATCGTGTAAGTTAAGAAAAATGTTACCTGATGTTTATTTAAAGATGGCTTATTATGCATTCTTTGAAAGTATATTGAGGTATGGTTTGGTTGTCTGGGGTAATGGCATTGGTATCGATGATGTCTTGATATTACAGAAAAAAGCAGTTAGACTAATAACTGGTTCATCTTTCCCGGCACATTGTAGGCCTTTGTTTGTGCAAACAGGGATTTTGACTGTGATCAATCTTTACATTTATGAAGTTACACGGCTAGTGAGAAAAGATATTGATAAATATATGTCTAGGACTGATGTTCATGATCACTTTGCTAGGTTTAGGAATAAAATTGACATATCTAGATGTAGATTGACAAGAACACAAAAGTATCATCACACTCTGGGTTTAAAGCTTTGCAATAAACTGCCAAACTATGTTGTAGATATTACTAGTGATAAGGTATTCTTTGAAATTCTGTATAAATGGCTCCTAGAAAACCCAATGTACCAGATTGATGAGTTTTTAAAATCTAAAATAGTTATTTGAATATGCTGTCATCCTACATAGCTTTAAATAGAAAATAGTATTTAGCTTTAAAGCCTGACACTAGCTTAGACTAATTTGACGAGATCTATTGTAAACAATGTATTTACTTAATGATCAATAAATTTCTTATTCTTATTCTTATTCTTTGACACAACTCTTCATCGTCAAAGTTTTTTGTTCTTGCTGAGATACTTTAATAGTAGTACAAGATAAGTAAGCTTACTTAAGTATGGGATCCCTGTCTATTTAGCATTGCATTACGCTTTGAAGATGGTAAATTAACTTGCATAGTGCTTAAGTCTACCTGAATATGAATTTGAGAATTGCCTTAGTATAAAAACCTAGTCAGTATTTTACCAAATAACGTCATACAATAGTTAATGGTTATCGTACACAGTTCATTAATGTGTGAACTTATTTCATATATTACATCCATATATTATCGATTTCCTCTAATTGTATTATTAATTATTTTTTGATATTTCAATATTGAACTGTTTAAAGCATAAGTGTACAGGAATGGTGAATATTTTAAATAAAAGGACTAGTGGTAGAATCAAAATATAACTACGTTTTCACCGTCAAAAAGGTTGGATAACTAACGAAAATACTTTTTAAAAAGCCCTAAGATCTTTTTGTTGGTAATAATACACATAAAT